TAATGAGGGTCCAGATGAAGGTGCTTGAAGCAGAGTACCTTCATTCACTTCTGTCTGTCCCTGCACACAATCAGCCCAGCCTTTACCCTCGTGCTGTATGCAGGAAGGTAGGGGGAGAAGGGAGGGGTGGGAGCTGCAGGCTGGGGTTTGCCCAGCCTGAGCTGGATGTGGTGGGGAGGGGTGGTTTGGAGCCCCCACTGTGGGGGCTCTAATCTAAGGTATCAACACCCTATGTCTTAGCTGGTACTGGCTGGGATAGGTGCTTCTGCTTGCTAAAGGGGTTGTGCTCGCAGGCAGACATGTTGGGAACTCTCCTCCATCTTGTACAGTCCTAGAGGGCTAAGGACCTTGTTGCATGGGACACTTAGCATTTGTTTTATTCAGCTCATAGTAAACATTTCCAAAATTTAGAACATATTTGGAGTGATCATATAGTAATGCTTGCTATAGTTCCCCAAGTCAGGTCTCTGCCTCTGGCAGTGGACAAAGGGAAGCATGGAGAGCTGATCTCTGTACCATCTCTGTTGTTGGATCCTGCCATTACCCCTGGACTGGAGCCAACTGGAGACTCCAGAGCAGTCCCAGGGTTAGGAGAAACAATCAGCTCATTATCAGTCACAGCCATAGGACCATATGGGAGCCAGCTGAGACTCCTGTGTGGTCCCAGGGCCACAACTGTCACTCTTAGCCCCTGGACCACACTGGAACCAGCTGGAGACTCTGGTGTGGTCCCAGGGCTGGTACCAACAATCAGCTGATTGTTGGTCTCATTCCCAGGGCCCCCAGAACCAGTTCCAGGCTCTTGTGAATTCCTGGGGCTGGGACTCAAAATCAGTGGATTGTGGGTCCCAATCCAAACACTGCAATTCATCATATTATCTCTGTGGAGTGATCCAACACTGGCTCACCACAATCTGGAGAGCCTTCTTGTTGGAAAAGGTGTAAGATACAATAAGAACATGCTTAGCACATGCTATCCCGCTTGAACATGTGGACACTTGAGTTTTAAGTGCATTTAACATGTGCTAAGTGTCTCTTGTGACGTGGCCCTTAGCATTATCTACCCTTACATCTGTTTGAATAATAGGAATGTACAGTACTGGATGCTGTGTATGTACATCATATTTACATGCAATACATTCATATTTACAAGGTTAACCAGCAAAGTCTTTTCAAGTGTCAGCAAGGAGCTGAAAACACTGTACAGGGAATGCACTATCCCCTGTGGCTGATTATGAAATAGGACTGATGTTTGCAGCATTTCATCCAGCCTTTTTGGAACTGAAAGAGAGGTCGCCCTTACACAGTGCCTTGAGGAAAGTGATGGCATACACTGAGATAAGTAGAAGGCAATTGTCAAGATCCCATAAGTTCATGGAGTTCTCCTTTTCCCTAACTGGAACATGTATGGTGTGACAGAAACAATAAAATAATTACAAGATCTGGAATCATCCTGTTTGCCCACGTGCGAGAAAACACATGATTTGATCCATTGTAAAAACATACAGTCACAAAGCAGCACATACAAATATACCATTACTACACCCGGGCAAGCAAAATTGTTACCTGTTTCAAATAATTAATTTTCATTTCTAGCTCATCTGCTTCTTTTTCTAGTTTCAATGATTTCTGAGTTAAAACAGCAGTGTGCTTCAGGACCTCTTGTGTTTTTTGCCTCATAGAAACACTCTCATGTTAAGGAATATGTATATTACGTAGAGAATATTAAGCTATTAAATCTATGAAAATATTATATTGAAAATATTTCCATTCATACAGCTTCTGAATTATACCTTTAGCAATACAGAGGGCAAAACACCTGTTGGGTCATTTGATGAGGACTTAAACTCTGGCTTTTATTACACCCTTTGGGTGCGCCTACACATCACTGTATGGCAATGTTGCTACAATGCTGTGCTTTAGTACTTCCTTTTGGAAATACTGAAGCATGATGCAGTAACTGCCCCTACTGTGCCGTGTGCATGGCACATGGTTAGGTTTTGCTGTTATGTTGCTTTAACGGCGTGCTACAATGGGGAAGCGCACTGCCACAGCAACATAGCTGCCTATCAGATGTAGACTCATGTAATCGCTATGTCATGGTAGGGCAATGTGTAGCTGCACCCCTTGATGTTAAATACCTATGGTAGGGAGATTTTGGAAAGGAAACTCAGTGAAGATTGCTTTTCAGATAGCTCCCCATATTCTCTGTGGAGGGATCAAAGTTTGTTTCTTATAGAAAAGGGTGTAAGGCAGGCCGGGAAATTATTTCGTGTGGAGGGCCGCTTACTGAGTTTTGGCAAGCCATTGAGGGCCACATGGCAGGCAGCCGGGGCAGATAAATATTAATTTTCTACATTTTTAGGAATCCTGGGGGCCAGATAGAATGGCCTGGCAGGTGACATCTGGCCTATAGGCCTCATTTTGACCACCCCGATGTAAGATCTAGTCACAAATATGATGAATGAAGGAGAAACTAGGGCCATTTGTATGCAGTTCTGACTTCACCAGAGTTGTGCTAACAGAGTTTCCTTGGTCCCAATGGGCCCAATATAAAAATACTGTTTTCCATGGAATTCCACCCCATCCAATAATAAATCTACTCCCTCATTGCAAACCATAGTAACACATACAGGAAGCTCTGGTGGGTCCATATAGCCCTAATGGATCTCTTGAAGCAATGCTTTATTCTTTTCTTTCCTTATCCCTAATGGAACATTTTGATTAAAATTTCATAAAATGAACCTTGGTGTTCTTCATCCTTCAGGGCTACCTCCCATAAGAAAATCTACCTAAGGTTGTTACTGTTATTAACCCTTGGGGGAAAATTCCCAAAAGAATCTAGAAACATTAATCTTCAATTTACTGACAAGTATGGTTTTGGCTACTGTGAACAAGCCCAGTATATTTTTTCCTCCCCACAAACTGATGACAGTGTCATGGATACATCTGTAAGGCCCAATCAGAAAGTGACTGAAAGGGAGCAGGCTCTGAAAACATAAAGTTGCATTTTAGCTTGTTCATTCATTAATCTCATTTTCTCTGCAATGGCAATGTAAATTAATTGGTTGGAAAAGTGCTTATCTTTACAGAAATGGCAACATATAGTACAGATACACAGAACAGTACCAGCAACAGCAATAGCAGCAATAGTATGAAAAACAAATAGAAACTAGAACAGCAAAAAAATCCATCCCAAATGTGTTATACTCTGACAACCCTTTATGCTGAGCCTAAGACAAAGCTGATTCCAATCCAAGCATGGCTTGCAGAGATAAACAATGTCCTCAGTTGAAATCCTGTTTTTGCCACTGTTATACCCTATTTCCTAAATGAAGAAAATAAGTTATACTAACGAGTCCAAGAGAAAGAAAGAAGAAAAATGAGTTAATGTTTGTGCAGTGCCTTGATTTTGCAATGCAGTATAATTATTTAGATCATACTTTACTGCTATTGATATGGTAATAGTGGTACCTAGCATATCCAAAAGAGCAGCTTCTTTTGATTTAAATAGTTCAGAATGTTTCAAAACTCTATTTTTGATTTCTTCAAGATCCTTTTTTTTCATATAGTATTCTTGTGAAAGAGCTGTTTCTGAATATTTTTCTTGGTGTTGCTTCAAAATGTTGTTATATTGGATGATGTAATCCTGATACATTTTCCTGTTCAACAACAAAGTGCAATAACATTTTGACATTAAATATGCCTTTCAGCAATATACTTTAAATCATTTAGCTTTTCACATAAAATTATCAATCTTTAAAGAGAAAAGTTAATTACTGTTAAAAGAATCAACTCAATTAGATAAGATATTTTGCTAGAGAAAGTCAGATTATTAGTACAACCTTATTTGGCTGTAATTCCCTTTTGAATATTTTCACAGAATGATACACAAAATAAAGTAAGCAGTTGTGAGATGACATTGCTCTCTAAGAGATACAGAGTATATTCCACTGAAATAAAAGTTTGTGCAGTGAGATAGTTTCATAGTTTCTAGGGTCGGAAGGGACCTGAGCAGATCATCGAGTCCGACCCCCTGCCATGGCAGGAAAGAGTACTGGGGTCAAACAACCCCAGCAAGGTGTACATCTAGCCATAATGTGTCTCCTTGTATGGCCAAATTGTCTGATGATGTAAATTGGCAAGGCTGTATTGATTTCAGTGAGCTGTCCCAATGTCCTGCATAACTGCTGTCTAACTGATAGTTCCCCATTTCGTATTTCATGCGATAGGTTCTTCCTACCTAAGCACAGTACTTCACTTGTGTCCTTATTGACCTACACCTTATTTCAGACCATTTCTTCAATTTGTCAAGAGCATTTTGAATTCTAAACCTGTCACAGATTCGTAAAAAATTAGGGTTGGAAGGGACCTCAGGAGATCATCTAGCCCAACCCAGCACTCAAAGCAAAACTATCTCCAGCTAGATCATTCCAGCCCAGGCTTTGTCTAACCAGGTCTTAAAAACCTCTAAGGATGGAGATTTCACCACCGTTCTGGGTAACCTGTTCCAGTGCTTTACTACCCTCACTGAGAGAGTTTTTCCTAGTATCTAACCTAAACTTCCCTTGCTGCAACTTGAGCCCATTGCTCCTTGTTCTGTCATCTGCCACTACTGAGAACAGTCCAACTCCATCCTCATTGAACCCCACTTCACTAGTTGAAGGCTGCTATCAAATCCCCTCTCAGTCTTCTCTTCTCCAGACTAAATAAACCCAGCTCCCTTAACCTTGCCTCATAAGCTGGGGCCCTGGTTTTCTTTGTTAAATTCCAAATTATCTGATAAAAATGCAAATTCTATGATTTTAAACCCCCAAATCTGGGTTTTTTGCAATTAAAATGAAACACCACTATATACTCCTTGATTAACATCATAGTTAGGTTCTTGAAAAATGCGACTTTAAGTGAAACGATGTTAAGTGAATCCAATTTCTCCATAAGAATTAATGTAAATGGGGGAGTTAGGTTCCAGGGAAACTTTTTTCCCCAGTCAAAAGACTTTATGTACCCGGGTCTGCAGCCCCCTTCCCCCAATCCCCCATGCTGCGGCCTCAGGAAGGGCAGCTTCCCACAGCTCCACACACTCCTGGGGGGCAGAGGGGACCCTTGCCCTCCAGATCTGTACATAGGGCAGGTGCAGGCTGTGAGCACAGGCTCCCTTTCTGCTTCCCTGCCCCAGGACCTCTGCAGCCCTGCAGGCACGACCCAGTGTGGCTGGGGACAGTGGGACCACACAGGGATCTCCTCACTGCTGCAAGCTGCCCTCCTCACTGCCCTGGTGATGCGCCCCTTGCACCTACCACTGCTTTGACGGGCACAGTCCCATGCCACTGCCCTCACTGCAGCCCTGCGTGCAGGAGGTGCATCACCGGGGCAGCGTGGGGCAAGCAGCGGCAAGGAGATTCCCGCACAGCTCCTCTGCTCTCTGCCACACCAGGTCATGGGGGAGGGAAGCAGGGTGGCAGGGAACAACAGGCCTGCACCGAGAAGCTGCTCGCCACTGTTCCCTGTCACCCTGCTTCCCTCCCCCGCAACCTGGTGCAACAGGGAGCAGAGCAGCCGTGCGGGGATCTGTTTACCGCTGCTTGTACTGCACTGCCCTGGAGTGTACTTACACAGATTCAAGTGTAAATTTGATACCTGCATCATGTACACCCATTTGATACCTGCATGATGCAGGTATCAAATTTACACCCAATTAGTTACTGTGCAGTAATGCACGTGTAGATGCATTACTGTGCAGTAACCCAGGCAGCCTCCCTGCTGGATCTTCCCAGTCACTAGAGAGCTGGCCTGAGCCCAGCCCCAGGTCTCCTGGCTGGCTGCCTCTCATGGATTCAACTTGAGACTAAAGTTAGTCCCAAGTGTTGGCAGCTGGTTTTGGCTTCAACTTGGGGCTAAATTGAGTCCCAAGTGCTAGCAGCCATGTGGCCGGAGGCTGGAGTTCCACCTGTGGCTACATAGGCACATCTAGGCTGCTCTAACCTGGGACTAAATTTAGTTCCAGGTCATCTGCACATGTAGACGCTGGCATATTCCTGCTTACTTTGCAGTAACTTACTGCACAGCAAATTTAAGCTGGTGTAAATGCATGTTTAGACACGCCCAGTGGGTACTTCAGCCTTTTCCACATCATTTCTCACAAGGTTGCCTTCCCCATTCGGTAAGTAATCCACACTTTCCCTGATCTACCTGCTGGCATACTCATAGAAACTCTTCTTGTTACCCTTTACGATCTCTGCTAGCTGCAACTCAAATTGTGCTTTGGCTTTCCTGACTTCATCCCTGCATGTCTGAACAATACTCATACTCCTCCCTTGTTGTTTGTCCAAGTTTCCACTTCTTGTAAGTTTCCTTTTTGTGTTTATCTCATTGAAGAGTTCCTTGCTAAGCCAAGCTGGTCTTCTGCCATACTTGATAGTCTTCCTGCGCATCAGGATGGTTCACTTCTGTGCCCTCACTAAGGTTTCTTTAAAATACAACCTGGACTCCTTTCCCCCTCAGACTGGCCTCCCGGGGGATCCTGTCCATCAGTTCCCTGAGCAAGTTTAAATCTGCTTTTCTGAAGTCCAGGGTCCTTACTCTGCTGCTCTCCTTCCTTTCTTTTTTCAGGATCCGGAAATCAATCATCTCATAGTCACTGCTGCCCAAGTTACCATCTACTTCAATATTCTCCACCAATTCTTCCATTTGTGAGCACCAGATCAAGAAAAGCATAGCCTCTAGTTGGCTTTCTAACACTAGCACCAGAAAGTTCTCCCCAACACTTTCCAAAAACTTCCTGGATTGCCTGTGTACCGCTCTACTGCCCTCCCAGCAGATGTTAGGGTGACTGAAGTCCCCCTTGAGAACCAGGGCCTGTGATCAGGAAACTTATGCTAGCTGTTTGAAGAAAGCCTTATCCACTTCATCCTCCTAGTCTGGTGGGTGGTCTATAGTGGACACCCACCACAGCATCACCCTTGTTGCTCTCCGCTCTGTCTCTAACCCAGAGACTTTCAAAAGGCCTGTCTCCAGTTTCTTACTGGAGCTCTGAGCAATCATGTAGCTCTTTTACATAAAGTGCAACTCCTCCTCCTTTTCTCCCCTGCCTGTCCTTCCTGAACAGTTTATACCCATCCATGACAGCCCTCCACTCATGTGAGCTCCCACCAGGTCTCTGTTATTCCAATCATGTCACAGTTCTGTATCTGTGTGAGGACTTCAAATTTTTCCTGCTTGTTTCCCAGGCTCCGTGCATTTGCGTATGGACACTTGAGATAACTAGCTGGTTGCCCTAATGTTCAGGAAGAATGAGAAGGCTTCCTGTGTTGCCCCCTCCTGCTTGTCTTTCCTCCAGGTCACCCACTTCCCCACTAACCTCAGGGCTTTGGTCTCCATCTCCCAGCAAACCTAATTTAAAGCCCTCCTCACTAAGTTAGCAAGCCTGTCTGTGACGATGCTCATCCCTCACTTCAACAGGTGGATGTCTTTTCCTAGCAATTCTTCTTCTTAGAACAACATCCAGTGGTCAAAGAAGCCAAAGCCCAGCTGGTGATCCCATCTGCGCAGCCATGCATTGATCTGCAGGATGGATCTGGTCCTGCCCAGGCCCTTCCCCTTGACTGGAAGGATCAAGAAGAATGCCACCTGTGCCCCCATCCCCTTTGCCCTTGCACCCAGAACCATGTGGTCACTTTTGATCTGCTTAGGGTCACCCCTAACAGTATCATTGGTGCCCACATGAATGAACAACATGGGGTAGGGCTGTGCGAAGCTTTGGTCACTGATTTGAAATGATGGAGATTCAGCCCGATTTGGCAGCCAAATCTCCAAATCCAGATCAAATCAGGAGACCCTTTAATCTCTCTGAATCGAACTGGAACCCTCTGAACTGATTCGGAGAGATTTGGAAAGATTTGATGATTTGGCCATAGTCAGAGGGCCGGATGAGTCTTGGTAATTCTTCTGTGACATCTTGGATCTGGGCTCTGGGTAAGCATCAGACCTCCTGAGACAACAGGTCAGGCTGGCAGATAGATGGCTCCATCCCCCACAGAAGACAATCTTTAACCACCTCCACCCATCATTTCCTTTTGGTGACAGTGGTCTCAATCCTCCCAACCTTGGGGAGGCCTGGCCTCTTCCACCAACAGAGTGTGCTCCTCTTTGTCCTCTGTTGCTAGGGCTCCATATCTTTTCTCCAGGCAAATCACTGCAGGTGGGGACAAAGACTTCTGATTGTTGCAGGAGGTCACAAGCTTCCAGATTCTACCTTTCTGAGAGTCCATGTCCTCTTCCTTCTCTAGCACTGTCTTGGCAGTTCTGCCTCTGCAGTCCTAGGGGTCTTCTCCAGCATTGAATCAAACCCTTATGTTGAAGGATGCTTCAAACCCTTGCTACTTCCTCCTGGATCTCTTGCCTACTCCCTGAGGGACACCACCAGGAAGCACCACTCACATTGCAGGCATGCCCCCCACCCCCTGCCCCCACGTGGCTGTCACTCAAAAGAAACTGTAAGGAAACTGTAAGTCACAGTCTCCACAGTACCAATCCAGGACATGGGTGGAAGCCTTGACAGTGGGTGGTCCTGCCTGGACAGACACCTCACAGGTGTAAACAGAGGAAGAGCTGGCAGCGGCAGTAGCTCTGGCATTGTGACTTCCTCCAACCACCTCTCTAG